GGGAGAGAGGGAGAGAGGGAGAGAGGGAGGGAGGGAGGGAAGAAAGAAAGAAAAACAATTCAAAGTGACTTCTTCATGTGAGTTCTACAGTAAGCTTTTGTGTAACACGTGGAAGGTTCTTTCAAATATTTGCATTGTTGCTGACACCTGGCAGTTCATGTTCTAATAATGACAGAGATGGATTTGTTAACAGCTTTTATGCATTGAAAGTTACTCAATCACTACAACTCCAATCCAGATCCAGGCTTGAACATGAGGGTTCCTTTTAGGTATCAAAAGCTGTGTTTTCCTGGTACTAGAACTTTTCTTAAGAAGGATTATATGAGGGAAATGGGGTAGATACACTTTCATTCCAAAATTCGCTCTTGCTCAACTATTGAAACTGCCTTGTGGAGTCATTTGCATGTAACCAGTCTCTTCCTTCTCTCTAACCTCTCAAATTAGCTCTGTTAGCAATCAAGATTTCTATGACTGCTGCAGGTTCTTTGTAATCTCACTTCCCCAGTAGTAATGCTTTGTTACATACATATTATGTCCTCACTACCTTTGTCCCTCCTGACTTGAATCTAGAATGTCTGTTTCTGGCCATTTATATCAATGGGGTCATGAACTCTCCTGAGCTGAGAAACAATAACCAAGGAAGCCACTCCTACTTGCCAAAAATATTCAGTATCTTAGAAATGTGTAAATTAAGCTGGCTAAGGTGTTGCACTCCTTTAATCCCAGAGCTTGGGAGGCAAAGACAGGCAGATCTCTGTGAGTTCGAGGACAGTGTGGTCTACAAGGCGAGTTCCAGGACAGCCAAGGCTGTTATACAGAGAAATCCTTTCTCAAAAAATTGTACGTACACACACACACACACACACACACACACACACACACACACACACACGGTGTAAGTTAATTTATATAGTGAATTAAAGTTGGAATTGTCAGCTTAGCTCAGCAGTGGTTCTCAACCTGTGGGTTGAGACCCCTTTAAGGATCAAACAACCAACTTTCACAGGGGTCGCATATTAGATATCCTGCATACCAGATATTTAAATTGCAGTTTATAACAGTAACAAGATTAAAATTATGAGGTAGCAATGAAAATAATTTTATGGTTGAAGGTCACTACAACATGAGGAACTGTGTTAAAGGGTTGCTGCATTAAGAAGGTTGAGAGCTACTGGCTTAATGTTTAAAAGGATTCAATTAGGATTCAATTTAATCTCATTATTAATTGTGTTTATACCCTCTTCTCCAATAGGACACGTGCCTTTTTAAATAGTAAATTCTCTCAATAGGCATGATTCTCATTCTGAAAAAGTTTTGATAAACATGTCTGTCATGTGGTGTACTGGAAAACAACGTGGAAACCACACATTCAGCTTCTAGTCTCTTTGAATCCCTAAGAGGTCCCAAAATGTTCACTGTGGACTCAGTTTTAGGTTTGAAAAGCTCATTTAAGATACTTACTCTGCTGTATATAGAAAATAGCCAAACAGAATCAAATATAGATAGTGCTTCTTCATGGCAATCTCTGCACTAATGAAAAAAATAACCTTTCCTTTCCTTTTCTTTCAGGAGAAACTGGCTCTGTTAATGATTCAGCCCTATAGTTTTTTTCTAAAATTCTACATATGTACTGTCTCAATAACAGGGACAAAAATGTGGGGGGGGGAGGGAGCGAAGAGAGAGAGGTTGTGTGTATGTGAGAGTGTTCATGTGTGTACACCTGAATATGTGCTATGGAGGCCAGAAATCAACTTTAATGTTCCTTAGGAGTCATCCACCTTGGTTCTTGAAAGTCTGATACTAAGACCTGTCAATCACCAATTAGGCCATACTGAGTAGCCAGTTTGACCTAAGAATCTTCCTGTTCTATGTTTTAATAATGAGATTACAAGTGCATGCCACCATGCCCATGCCTATCTTTTTATGTGGACATTGGGAATTGATCTTGGCTACTTAGTTTGCATTGCAAATGGTTTACCAATTGAGCTATCTCACCAACTAGCTCCAAGGAAACAAAATTTTGCCAAAAGTATGTAGCAAAATCAAAATTCTGACTTCAACCATAACTGTAAACATCTATATTTAAGCATGATCTTTTATAGTGTAATATGCTGCTCCACAGAAATGTGTGGTGTTATGAGAGGATAGTCATGGTTTATATAACTTGGTTTTGTAAATAGAGAACATTGACTTATCTCACATGGCATTCACATTTGTAAAACATACCTGACAGATCTTAAAAGCAGGATATGACCTTCCTACAGTGAGATGAAAATGACATTGCAGAAGATCCAAAGGATAGAGTGGATGAAGCCAAATACTCAAGGTAGAAGACCAAATGACAGGACAGAGTAGAGTGATGGGGGAAACCACACAAGACTGCGCAGGTCATATTCAAGATCTGGAGTTTAATCCTAAAAGCAAAAGAAACGAATGAATCATATAAGCAATGAAGAAATTTTGAGGATTCTGTGGTTTTTGAAAGCCTCACTCATGCTGTATTGTGAGAAATGAATCAGAGATGGAAAGGCAGCACACAGGGAACCCAGACAGAAAGCTTTTATCAGAGTCCTGGGGGAAACATAATAGTGAGTTAGAAAAGAATCATGATCTTCAAGACAGTAGGTATGAAACACAATTAGCAGGGAGAACCAACAGACGTTAGGAAATAATGATTTGCATATGAGGTAATAAGGAAGTAGAGATGCCAAAGAGAATGATTAGGATCACATTTAGCAGATTGCCATTCACGTGTCATCCTCATAGATGGGTACCCTTCAGGGACCAACAATGAGAAAAAGTGAGAGACTGGTACACATGTGAGTTGTCAGTAAGAGCCAATGAAATGGTAATTAGATGTTCCAATATATGTATGTATGTGTTTGTGCATGTAGGTATATGTATAAAATAATATTCAGAGAGAAGGGGCCAATAATATAAGTGGTGGGGGGCATGGAAGGGGTTGGAGGGAGGAGATTTGGAAGTGTCTGGAGTAAGGAAGGGGAAGGGTGAAGGCTATGTAACTATATGTTAGAAAAAATTTTATAGCATAGTATTAAAATGAATTTTTTTACAAAGGCAGTTTGAGTTATTCTCCTAGAACTAAGTGATAAGATTTGGGTGGAAGAAAAACATTTCAAAATTAACACCCTAAACCATAGTAATAATTTAATTTAGTGAAAAAAGACTTACTATTAATGCCTCTGTAGATTGCCTTTGAAAAGATATAAGGATATGCTCACATAAAACATGCTAGCATAAGCAAGGACAAATCCAATTAGCTAATCTCTGGGTCCTTTCACAAATAAATAATGAAGCAAGATTATTTATTTTAAAAGTCACATAGAAGTATTGTTAACATCATTACCTTTCCTGAAAGTACTTTATATTGGCAACCAATGTCCTTCCAGACTCCTCCTCTGAGGAGATTTGATTTTGAGCCATGAAGCATAGGATAAAATATAAGGAATAACTCCAGCCTTTTGCCAAGAGAAGTAGCGATTCAAGATTTTGGTTAGAGAACGTTGATAGGATTCAGGAAAATAGTACTAAGCTAAGCATGTATCTCTTGGGACATTTGTCTCAATTGTTTTCTTTGTCTCATATTTTTTTGAGAGTCCTCTGATTCTGTTAAGTGATGCTATGATTAGCCCTAATCTACTCAGCCTTAAAGTACCTTTCAGCCAGTTATGAAAATAAGTTCCACATCCCTGATCACCTTGGGAACCTCCTGCATTCCTGATCGTCTTAGCAACCTCCCATCCCTGATCACCTTGGAAACCTGTACTTCAGTGTCTAGATAACAAATGAAACTTCAAAATTAAAAAAGAAGAAGGAGGAGGAAGAGGAAGAGGAGGAGGAGGAGAAAATATGTTGTTTGTTACAGGTGACAATAATTTATTTACAGATATCTCTTTTCTTTTGGATGTGCAAGGAGTATATACCACTAATACCATTTAAATGAAGTTTCCTAGACTCCACCAAAATAAAGCCTTGATATATAGTTTATAGTTTAGCAAATGTCATCTCAAAAAGGTGTCCAGTTTAATTTTAATGATAATAGAGAAATTAATAACCTTTGAAAATCATCTAAGCTAGCCCATGTTAGAGAGGATAAAGTGGGGTCTTAAAGTGTTGAGGTAATTTTCCCAAAAGTACACAGTTGGTTTGGAACAGCATCATAACTAGAACACAATACTGTGACTTATTTATTATACTATGTAGCCAAAGGTGACTAGAATATCATCAAAACTAAAAAATTATCATTTGTTTATTGAAAAATAAAAACAAAAATAGTTTGAATATATTCAGTCAAAACTATCCAAATATCCAGTGTAGACAATGCCCACCTGGTACTATTACCATAATGTAGACCTTAAATTTTTCTCAAGTATATGATAAAAATCTGCATTCACATCTCTGGGTAATTTGATGGAAAGTCATGATTAGATCATTTTACCTTTGAAATTAATATTTTTCACTTGCTGAGTTAAGAATAAGGCAGTGATAGGAACACAGAAGATTTTGTATTTCATCATTCTAGATAAGTAGCAAAGCTAGTACCTTTTGTATGCTATAGTTTCCCCCTTCAAGTTGTAACATATGTAATAGAATAGAGGGGATTCCATATATCTTGAAGGCGCTTGTTCAAAGAAATAAGTACAACACAAATACAGTTTTAAAAATGTGCAAAATCTGGGCTCCAATCCACCTGCCCCTCAGCCTCCATCTCATTGCTTCTTCTTATTCTCTACAGGCCTTGTCTATTCCTGCTTCCCCTCTCTCTTCCTGTCCCTTATCCTCCTTAAATCCACAGGTACAGAGGTTCAGGAATAAAAACACCCGAGTCACATGGAAGAAAAGATGTGGGGACTCCTTATGAAGACACCTGTTTGGAAATTTAATCATAGCGATGGTTTTCATTTCAGTTGGCTATTTAGATCTAGCTACGGGGCTGGCAAATTATAAGCCATGGTTTAAATCTGGCCCACTGCCTGGGTTTGCACAACCTGTGAGTTAAGAATCCTTTGGTACATTTTAAATGGTTAAAAAGTAAAACCATATCTATGACTTGAAAAAAATACATGAAATTCAAATTTTAGTTAATAAACTTTTAACTCAACACAGCCATTCCTACCTGTTTACATGTGGCCACATGTGAACTATAATAAAAGCTGAATAGTTGCAACAGGCACTGCATGGCCGTTAGAATCTTACAATTTCTTTATGACTTGTGTAGTAAAGCTATGTTGACCCTGATCTAATCTATTGCCCATTACTGGGCCTCTTGCTTACAACCTGCTTATCAGCAGCCTCGTAATCACTGATTGAGACTGAAGCCTCACTCCAAGTACTGATTTATTTCTAGATAATGGAAAGTTATTTTTGAAATGTATTAGTAGGATAACAATGCATAAATACTAACTTTTAAAATGATTTTATTATAAATCTAGAGACAGATGTTATCAGGAACTTACAGCATGAAGGTTTGTCAAAAATTGTGACCGGAACTACCATATGGCCCAGTAACACTACTAAATGGCAGTTCTAGTTCGTTTTTTGGCCAACTCCATGCTGTTTTACTAACTCTCACCAACACTGTGCAGGAGTTCCTTTTTGTTTATATCTTGCCAGTAGTTCTTATCTTTTGTTTTTTGATGATAGCAGTTAAAACTGTAGTGAGTCAATCTGTATTGTGGTTTTGAGTTTCATTGCTTTAATGGAAAGCTGAAGATATGTGGGTGTTGTTGAGACAGATTAAGGCAAACATGCTTTCTCCTAGTCAAAAGATACAATCTCAATTCAACTTTTGGCCTTGGATAGAGACCAAACATTCTTCTTTTTTAAAAAATTTTGTTTTGTATTAGCTTTCTTTTCTTTTTTCTTTCTTTTTTTTTTTTTTTCTTTTTTTTTTCCCCCTGCATGTGAGTCTGGGCAGAACATGCATGCTTTGTGCCTGTGAGGCCAGAAGAGGGCAACAGATCCCTGGGAATTGGAGTTACAGAGGGTTATGAGCCACATGTGAGTGCTAGGAATTGAACCCAGGGGTTAAGAAAGATCAGTCCATGCTCTTAACTGCTAAGCCACCTCTCCAGCCCCAAGACCTAACATTATAAGATATGTAAAATATTATACTCTACTGTCCTCACTTTTTAAGAGTCATCCAACTGGGCCTGTCAATCACCTGCTTTCAAGTCTACAGGCTGGTTCACGTGAAGTCTTGCTAAGGAGATGGGAGGAATAATTACCCCCTTAGTGAGGTTCTCCCAGAAGCTCCTCTCCGGGCAGTTGCTTGCAGGGCTTCCATCATGACACATTATAACAGAAAAGTGTAATTTCTTTTTTTTTCTTCTATTCTTTCTTTCTCTTTCCTTTTGGATACTGGACAAGGCCTGGGCATACCTTCCTGGGAACTCTGGGCTTTCTCACTCTTTTTCTCTGAAGCCACTCTTTCCTCATCCACCATGGTCTGCACTTGTGTAGTCTGTACATTCCATACTTCTAAGAACATGTATGCCTTGACCTTTGCAAACACTTGCAAGATGGTAAATTGGCTTTTAGATTTAGATTGCATCCAAAAGTGGTCTAAGGTTTATCTCCATCAGTACATAAATTATCAATAGCAGGAGGTCTGGGTGTTGCCCTACTGGGAATGGGCGGAAAAAAAAGTTTTCCAAAGTGGGTGGTGGCCTAGATTGCTGGGTTGTTAGCCACATTTGTTTGTCTTACAAGCCAATACATTTCCTAATAATTACAGCCCTCTGAATTGTTTTTTCACAACAGTGGTGTCCTAACAGTGTGGAAGCCTCAGACAATCGAGTTAATTGGTTTTATGTCATCTGCTAGTGCTAAGTGAACCAGGATGAGTCCAAATGAATGTCACAATTGAAACACGAAGAAAAAGTTTAAACCAAAACCCAAACACATCACGTCAAACCAGACTATCCAGAAGTGCAAACAAGCTGAGAGTATTCTGTCAAATAATATCTCAGTTTTCCTGCCAAATAGCTATACAATCATTCAGCAAATGATTCAATAGAACCTTCAAAATGACAGTTACTTCTCTTAGGAGAAACTGGCATCAGAAACACAAAACAAAGCAAACCAAGGTCTAGACTGAGAGAGTTTGCCAGCATCATTTGATATCATGAAACTAAATAACTAGAATATTCCTCACAAATAATACTTCTTCCCCCAATCTCCCCCCTCCCAAAAAACATTTTTTTACAGTTTTATCAGTTTACATTTATCAGCAGCAGATGCCCAAGACTCAATGAACCAGGGGCAAAGGCAAAGTTAGGTACATATTTTCTTACTGGTTGTCTAAGCTGAATTGCTACTGGATACTTGGTTCCATGAACTTTCCATCTTAATTCCTGCATATTTCAAGTGATGTTAGGAAAAGAAAACTAATGATTTTGATTTGATTTATCTACAGTTTGGCTAGGCTGGGGAGAAAGGACAGATCTTAGATTCTCTATACTGTTGATGTAGCAGTGTAACAGGTTTATAGAAGAGATAAAAAGAAAGCCAGCAAATGTAGGTAGTGGTGACACAACAGTGAGGTCTCTTGTGAGAACTCTGAACACTTATCCTGGGATGAAGGGTCTGACTTTGACACCAGGGCCTCTGTTTATTATCTTTCCAAGGATAGGGCTGTGGGGCAATTTTAATTCTTAGGGTCTATTGTTTTAGTGTCTTTCTTATTTTTTTTCCATTTCTGTTGTGGTTAATACTGATTTCTAACTTGATTGGATTGAGATATGCACAGAGAATTATCGAAGTCCAGTTGTGGGTGTCTGTGACAACATTTCTGACGGGCTAGGATTGCACTAGCCCATATGCTGGGGTCTGGTTGAGTAGAAGTGGAGGAGAAAAACTCCCATGAACCCAAGCAATTCCTGTCTTTACTTCTTGGTCATGATAAGGTAAACCTCATCAGCAATGGTGTCAACATGTCCAGGGCCCACAGAGTCAGCTGTGGTAGACTGAAGCATCTGAAACTCTGAGCCAGAATAAGTAGTTCTGCCTTTTGACATTTTTTCTCAGATATTTTGTTTCAGTGTTGGTAAAACAAATGCAATTTCTTAAAGCCAACATAGAAGTAGATCTTTCTTCATTTCCTTATCTCATGTCTCCCTTTTAAAAAGCCTATGCTAACCCAAGTCGAAGTAAATTCTATGGTACATCTAAATGACACGCCTGATTTTCATCCATCAGTGCGTATTTCTTTTGAAATTTCTTAAATTAAAAAATATACAGTGCACTTAAAATTTTCAATGTATAGTTATTATTTATATATACAAACATCCTTCAAGAAATGCAAAGGCATGGTTCCAGGATTGCTTAAGACACCAAAGCCTACAGATGTACAAATCTCCCACTAAAAAAATGGTAGCATATTTGCATAGAACTTACATCTTCCAATAGACAAAGCACTAATGTTCTCTGTTGTGTAATTATTTCTGGAAAAATGCCACTCATTGTATGATTTTGTGTAAATATGGCCTTGAAATCAGAAGGCCAAATACAATCATTAAAACACAGTTTGGTTAAACAGGATTTTAAGGACTAACTCTGTACTTTCTAATGTAAACATCCTAAATAAAGCCAAACAGGATGAATATAAGAACAGAAAAGAAATAAACCAGAATCAATCAAAAGGGAAAGTGAAGCTATGTTAATTGCCAGCAATGTAGAATTTAGGACATAGAATATTGAGAGAGAAATTGAAGAATTGCATAGCAGGAGCACTCCATTAAAAGCATATAAGATCCGAAATATATATTTACTTAAGGCTTCACAACATGGAGAAAAATCTGGTAGAATTGTTCAGGAGAAATACACAAATCCACAATTGCATGCAAAGATCTCAGTTTTCCTCTA